AGCGCCGCGCACACCTCCAATTTACATGCGGAACGACCTGCTCCCAGCGGCCACGGGAAGCAAATTCGGCTACATTTTTCCACTTTTCACCTGCTTCTAAAAATTTCCTCCTCTGCCTATCCTATTTCCCTACCCACAAAACTCTATAACCACCGTTTTTGCGGGACAAAATGCTGGGACTAGGGGTATATGAGTAGGGCTACATAAGCTACTTTTTCCGCCTTTTCTTCTGCATACAATCCATTTTTGGGGCGGGGCTTACGATAAGCCAACGACATGGCACAATAGGTCATCGTTATTATGCTAATTGTGACTCTGACTTGGCCTCTTGACAACAGACATTTTCGCGCCGGACGGGCAGACCCACAGGAAGTGAATAATTATACACAATTTTAAAGAACCGATCAAGACTTACGACCGGAAGAACAAATAATTTTCTCGGGTTGAATTAAGGGTAGCAGTGTCAAGCTAGAACGATTAACTCACAACAAATGGTACACTGAGGCCAACGAATCTGTCCTTGTCCGGATCGCCCACAGAAAGGTTACGGTCCAGGAAGTAGGTTATTCGCAGATTGAAAGTTACGTTAGAATAGTCGTCTGCGAAGCTGATGTTCGTCTTTTCGCGTTTCTCCCTTTATGTGAAAGGATGGCAAAGGGGAAGGTATAGCGCGTTATAACTGTAAGTACAGTAGTAACATATTTATGTTGGATATTTTATGCATACTGTTTTCAATAAGGTCTTCAAAGGCATCGCCCACTACCCTAAATATACTGAACTATACTGAACAGGACAGCAGGCTTACTCTGAGCAGATGCATTGGCTGCCTAGTTAAGAATTTTAAAAAAGCTGTTGTCACTTCGAAATGCTTAAAGGACTGTCAGGGTCAGAAAAACGAAAGAATTGAAAGGTACAGTTGCGTTCAAAACGATGAGTGGTTATTTTTGCTCCGACAACTACGTACACAGTAGATGTGCTAGACCAGAGGTCCGGAACCTTTTTGACTCAGCGAGCCAAGAAAGCAAATATTTGGAAAGCTATTTGAGTGAGAGCCATGTGATGTATTTTAAGATTGAAATAAATTAAATGTGAGCATAATAAGCCCCTGAATTTAATTTTGGAGGAACCAAAATCACAAAATCTGAAGTTTCTAATTCCAATTTTATCCGGGAGAGATCCAGAGAGAGATCAAAAGAGCCACACCTGGCTCGCGAGCCATATGTTCCCAACTCCTGTGCTGACCAACACACTGGCTAAATCGGGGCATGCTAAACGTTATTTGAGAGGTGCACCCACAAAAAATGCCCTTAATCAGATGCGACTGCGTTAGCACGCCTAAGCGCAGGTTCACGCCGCGCCGGCCACCCGCTTCCGATTCCGCTTCTGGCCTTCTTGCCTCTATCTTGACACCTGTCACAGGTGGGCGGGGTGGAGGGAGAGGGAGGGAGGGAGGGAGGGAGTGTGATAGACGGCAGTGGAATTTGGCCGGGCAAGAAACCTTTATCGGTTGACGATGTGGCAAGTCGTGTTCAGAGCGCGTGTTTGGTTGATGTCCAACGAAACCCGTATGATTCAACGACCCCAATCGTGCTGTGGGACGAGCGACGCCAGCTTATCCCAAGTTTAGTTAATTTTAACTTTTTTCCCCAAAACCAACTACGACGCCCGAGAATCACCATCGATCATAAGGGGAGAGCTAGGTGTTAGATTTCA